GTCTGGACAAACTAAAGCCAAGTATGTGTTCCCATTAGGGCTGCGCCTTTACCTGTGTGTGTAAACCCAATTTCTATTAGACATACTTCAGGCTTTCTTTCCCTGGTAAGCAGAGCAGGAAAAATGTGAATGCTTGGCTTAGCTTATATATGCAAACATTTAACATCCAGTTATCATGAACCAGACTGAATTAGACAACAGTTCTTTTTTTTTTACTATTTACACACACACACAGATTTTTTTTTAGTTTTGGTTGTTTTCAGTGTCCCTTGTCAGCTTAAGTACTTTTGGGCTTTAGTTATTATAACTGATTAAATCCATTTTTCATTTCATATCCTTTTTAAGTTCTATTTTACATGTAACAATTTCCCAAACTTCCTCCCATTCTTCATTTCTGAGTGTATGCAAATATATCTTTGGTACCCTACTTAAAAATACTGCCCAACAGTACTGGATATCTTTTTCTTGAGAATTTCTGTCGATGGGATTCTGTCTAGTGTTTCTCTATGCTTGTTGGAATGACCTTTTCTGAAATCAAGTGTACATACACACCAATTCTCTAATTTCTCTTTTGATAGTATTTTGAATTCCAAGATGACATGGTTACTCCTTCCAAAGTATCTTCTACTTTTTCCTCTTGAATCAGCTCTTCTCTATTATTTAGATCAGTGGTTCTCAACCTGTGGGTCGGGACCCCATTTGGGGTCGAACGACCATTTCACGGTTGTCACCAAACAAGGCTGTCTGCCATTTTTTCCCTTTTTCTTTGGCCATGCCCCTGGCACCCGGTGATGTGTAAGTGGTTGGGGGTCACCACAACATAGGGAACTGTATTATGGGGTCACGGCATTAGAAAGGTTGAGAACCACTGATTTAGATCAAATGTAGGAAAACCAACCCTTCCTCTCTTTCATCTTTCTGAAAATGAAACAGTAATGCTAATACAGAACTTTTGGAAAGTTGGCTGAATTGGTCTGGGGAGTTGGAGTCCTCCATTATCACCATGTTTCTCCTCCCTGCATTTATAATTTGATCAATGGGAAAGTTATCCATCTGATATGATTAGGTTGGTTATCTCTAGCACATTAAATTGGTCTACCTCTGGTGACTAATGGACCCAAATGGGATCTAGAGGGAGCTGGATGTTGTTTTTGAGAATCTGCTGCATGGTTTAACAGAGGCTTTGGTCATTGGAATGTGGATGAGGCTTAGATTGGATTGCACTCTGCATCCTCACTCTTCCCATGGATTCCATCATTCTCTGTGGTTTATGAAAGAATTGAGGGAAATGAAATGGAAGATGTCTAGACCGTTGCTTAGGTTGGTGAAGGATGAACCCTACTAAACATAAGTACGAACTATTAGGATCTACTTTGTGGTGAGAAGGGTGGCAAAGTGACAATATCTTTCCACACTTATTGCATCCAGACAGCCATTCAATGGCTGTGTTTTAAGTAATCCAAGCCCTTCTAGGCAGGGGGGCCTTCTAGATTCATCCACATAGCTGTGCAATGAATGTTCAGATTCATTTTGAATTAGATGACAGGCTTGATTCAGGTTCTGTGTAATTGCCTAAGGCACAGTCTTACTCTACATGGAGGAATGGTTTAAACCTGTTAGGCCTGAGGAAGTGGACAGGTTTTTATGATTGTGAGCTTGGCCACCTGCCTATTAGATATATCCAGGCCTACCTTAGTTGGCTGAGGTTGTCTCTGTGCATGTGTGTCTGAGTAACACATATTTGAACTCTAGTTCTCCTCTTAAGGAGGCATTGGTTCACCACTCCTGAAGAAGCCATCACTGGATCTCACCATACTGAACAATTTTCATCCAGTACTGGCCAATTTTTTAAAGGATGGTTGTGGAGAAAGTAATTGTACAAGCTGTTTCAATGGACTCTGGATTATATGGATGGCTTTCAGTTGGTATTCAGGCCTAAACATGGGACAGAAATAACACTGGTCATGCTCTTGGATAATGTTTGTAAGAAGTAGGATGAGTATAGTACATCACTCTTGACTCTGGCTGACTTCTTCCAAGTATATCTTTCAAGTACGTTCATCCCAGCACCTCACATTTTGTGCAGCACATCTCAGCTTGGAAATACACACCATTATCCCAAAATCCAACTGCTTTCTTTGGTATGACCTATGTAACCAATTGTTAATTTCCAGTATTGTTTTTTTCTTTTAACAGAAAGGGGAGAAGAAAAATCACCTGTGATCCAGCTTCTTCACCCTTCTGCCCATCACTTCACATTTCCTTGCAGTTTCTTTAAGGTTGTGCCTGGTTAAGTCTTCTTGTTTCCTTGTTCATGTAAAAAAGTTTTTTTGATCACTTTTTCTCATTGGATAAGACTGATGGTAAATGAAACTCATCATCCCCTGGCCCCCATCCCTAGTTTTCTAATTAAGAGCACAGTGTTATTTGGGCAACAATGAACCAGTGTGATTTTTTAAAAATGAAAAAGAAAATAGTACAGTGACTACATTTTCTTACTTTGTAGATATTGCTGTGATTTCAGAGTCATCTGAATGATCTTTCAGGAATAGTGTTTCTACTCTGTCATTTTAGTACTTAAGAATTTACATAGCAAGCAATGCAGGCCCTCTGAAGGAAGTCCCTCTTAAAGCAGCGGTCCAAGAAGATGTAACTATATAATAATATAGCCAAATCCAGGAATACCCTGAGACTTAACTGTAATGGGAAAATGCCCCATTTGTGTATGGTATTAAGCCAAGAGAAACAGCTTATTTAATTTGTCTTTGTTAATGTGTTAGAATTAAATAAAGATATAATAGCCTACAATAAACCCTATGATACTATAGATTTTCCTTAATATTATGTAGAAATCTGTCTTCCCACTTTCTGAAGTTTGCTTTTTTACTACCTTGTTTTTTCTGAAGTTTGAAGACACTTTTGTTTTCCTATCTTATTCTCAGATTTCTTAGCATTTGTTCTGGTGGTGTTTTTTTTAGTTTATATAATTGATCCAAGCTGACAGAAGGTGCTATTACTGTTATTTTCACTTGCACAATTCTCCATTAAACTACAGATTGACTTCTTGTTGCATCCTTCTTCAGGATCTGAAACATGCCATGACTATTCTTCCATTTAGATATAATTCTAGTTTGCTGACTCCAGAAATGAAGATTCTACAATAAAGAGAAGAAACTCACTTGCAACGTCGTAACTAAGGGAAGTGCTAGACCCTGGCAATCCATCTGCGATAATTTTACAGAAATTTTCTTCCTTTGGGGAAAAATACCTCAATAATTTGTTCATTATAAAACAAAATGGTTGGGGGAGGGAAAATAAAAATACTTGGCATAGCATTATTTTCCCTAGAGTTTGGGTGAAACAAAAATCTTACTACATTGGCACGTTCATGTTTTGCTCTGACATAATAGAATGCAAATCAATGTTATCTTACACGAATGCTGTAAATCTTTAGTAACCTATGTCATCTGGGTGAGCACTGGCAACCATAGCAATTTTCAAGTGCATAAATAATTGTAACAAATATATCAGCTTAGACACATATCTTACGCTGCTCTTTCAGTAATAGGAGAGACAATAAGATGTGTAGGAGTATCAAAATGTCCAAGATATGTCACATGATGCCATGCCATAGTAGACTGTCTTTTGAATAAAAATTGTCATCTGGGGTAGTAAACAGCAAAAGGATAGAGCTAGTTCATCTTTCTGTCAGTTGTTTTGTGATGGACCATTCCCACCATGGCAGTCATTTTGTGAGCGTGCTCCCCACAGACTTACACAAAATTTCAAATATGTCCCTGGCTAAAAATATCACCTGTCCTTGCCGTAAATTGAGATCCTATCAGTTCTTCTGCCATACAATATCAAAATGTTTCCTTAAGTATGTGGTCTGGAATATAGAAAGGTGCTGATGAATGAGAGTAAACCTGATTATCTTAATTTGGTTCTGTTTATAGAAATACAGTAATGTAAACCATGGGGAGAAGAAGCTCCTATAAAGTATAAACCCATGTAGTGAGGAGAGTGTTTTGTTGTATTGCTTCCCATTTCAAAGTCTAATAGTAATGATCTTATATCGTTTAATGTGAAGAATACTACGATGAGAAAAATGCTGAATTTATTCATAAAAGGGAGGACTTTTTCTATAGTGGCACCCAAATTCTGGAATGCCAAGACTGGTACATTATTTTCAATGCCATGTTAAAATGTTCCCATTTGTAATCACATTTTAAGAATTTGAAAATGAAAATAAATGTATAACCAATCATTCTTGATTTTAGATACTTTGGAATATAAACTTTTAATGGTGATTATGTCTGAATTTCATTTTGTAGCTATTCTGTTTTGTAGTTTTCATCTGCACTGCTACGGGATAACTTGAAGGACACAAAGACAAATTGCAATACAAAATAATCCCATGTACATTCTGTAAACTTGAAGAATACCAAAATAATACTTTTTGATTCCTTGAAAGCTGAGACCAGTCAGTAATCAAAGATTGGCACAACACTGTTTTTGAAGTAAATCCTGACATAGTTCCTTTTGTAGCCTCAAGCACCTCCTCAGAGTAGGTAGTTTCATTGCTGCTCTTACAAAAAGATTTGTCTATTCCCAAAATGAATTTTTTTAAAAAAAGAACAAACAAAACACCACACAGACATTTGATGAGCAGGAACTCCCCATTTCCAGCATATAAATTTTCCAATTTAATATTGTTAATAGAAGAATTAAAAACAGAATCAGCCAAACAGAAAAGGGAAATGGTAACATGAAGGTCCTGGACACAGCATAGCAAAGTTATATAGGCTATTACACAAATAAGTTACCGCATCCTTAGTGATTGATGGTTTATTTTTATGTCCATTTGCTTATGTAACTCTGCATTAAAAGCTGTTGTAAAAGATCTCTATTTACTGTTTTAGGGTGTTTTTAAAATAATTAATGCGTGAAAAAATATTGTATTATAAAGATCTGTATTAAAATGCTCGATCTGACAAGCATCACATCAAATAAATTTATTCCTTTCATAAACTCCACACTGGACATATAATTAAAACCAAGTTTTAAAAATAAGAAAGTTTTATAACATGAGTTGAAAAATTAATATACATGGCATTAGAAAGCTTTCAATGACTTAAAACACACAATAGCATTCTCCTCATGGTGTGGCAAACAGGATATCATACTTTACATTTGGAATAATTCATTTTCATGACCTCTGTCCTGATGCCCATAATGTCAAGGAATTTACTTTTTATGCATGATTTGAAATAAATTCAAACAGGTAATGTTATACAATTTTCTTATACTAGTACTGAATTATTTTAGTTTTAAACAAGGAATTAATCATCACACTACTATGTATTTTAATAGCATTGAATACAAAATATGGACTGTTATTTATGCCAACTTTCATGAAGTTTTTGTTTTAACTGCTAGACTGAATAGTTAATCCAGATAAAGTAGGAGATACATGGAATGGTAGGAGATACAATAGTTTTAGCTATTTAGGTTTTTTATACCCTGTCATCTTTTTCTTCTTCCATTTGTAGTACAATGATGAAAGGAGGAATGTTGAATATATATTAGGAAAAATATCCAACTAAATTAAAATAAACAGACACTATGCCCTTTTGGTATGAAACACAATTTATTGATAAGGGAGAAAAGTAGCAATAGTCTGTTCTGAAAACTTATAAGGAAATAGAGCAAATTTCCACTAAACATTAAAACAAATAGGAGTAGATTCAGCATAGTGATCTGAGTTTACATAAGGGAGGTAATTGAAAATTAAACACAGGAAGTGTTTGACTTACAACCATAATTGAGCTGAGAAATTTATTAAATGAGTTTTGCCCCATTTTATGATTTTTCTTGCCTCAGTTGTTAAAGTGAATCACTGCAGTTGTTAAGTTAATAACACGGTTGTTAAGTGAATCTGGCTTCCCCATTGACTTTGTCAGAAGGTTACAAATGGTGATCAAAGTGACCCTGGGAAATTGCACCCGTCATAAATGTGAACCAGTTGTCAAGCAGCCGAATATAAATCACATGACCATGGGGATGCTGCAACGGTCATAAGTGTGAAAAATGGTCTTAAGTCATTCTTTTCAATACCATGGTAACTTTGAATGGTCACTAAACAAATCGTTGTAAGTCGAGGATTACTGTACTAGGTAAAATTAGAATGTTTATTTAAATAAAGCAGTTGCTTTTGCAATGAATTTATGGTAGGTGAATTCTCAGTGAGAGGGAGACAGAGGGCCAGAAAAAGCCTTTTTATGCCCTGTGTAGTAGAATGAATGTATTACTTTAAAGTGCATGAAGACTAGAGATAACACAGCTCCCCGAATCCTCTTGCATAGTATTTACAAAATCACATAAATCATAATATGAGTTTATGAATTTGCAGTCTCATCTGGAATGCTTGGCAACCTGTAGTAAAAATGAGAACACTACATATTTCAAACCATACATTTGCATGACCACAGGGTATAAAAAATGGAGGAAGGGGTGGAAAGGATGATTTATCAAAACTGTTATAGTTTGATTCCTAGCTTTATGAATATTAAAGGACTACTGTACATTCAACAGTATAGAAGTTGGGACTTATGCAACTAATATTCAGCTTGGCCCTTGCAGTTAAAAGTATTTTAAAGAAGAGGAAAAGAGAAAAAGATTCGTGGACTACAATACTGATCAGCAAAGAACACAAAGAATTACAATATATACAGCAGATTTACTAACAGCAAGTGGGTCAATGGGACTTTTGTGACCATCTGAATTTGTTGAAAATCAACCTTCTATTTAGGAATAAAAACTAATTTCTATTTTTTTTAAAAAGAATGTTATACTAAGAATATTTGTTCACTTAAGACCACATCCACTCATATTTATACTATATAGGCCTAAATAAAGCTTAGACAAATTGTTCCTTTTAATATATTTCTTTGTTTTTATCATAAAAATGTCAAAATACAGTCATGCAAAAAGTAAGTACACCCTATTTATTATTTTTACTTTTTCAACATATTTCCATATACATACAGTATATTTCATTTTCACTTCAACAATATTAATAAAGGGGATATCTTACAACAAATATTAGACCTCATTTACATTTTGTGGTTCAATGCGTAAGTTAAATAAATAAATTCAAATTTTACAAATGGAGAAAGTAAGAGCTCCCCTACTTTTATTACTACCTCAAATATTTAAAGCTAAAAATGGCAAATGATTAGAAAATAACTGGAGAGGACTGGGAAGAGCCTCTCGTATTTAAATCCCAGAGATTCAGTTTGATTTGCTCTTCGTTGGTGAAGTATATGGTATCATCACACGTATAAGGCATTCATAAAGAAGGTTATAGAGGCTAATGTGTCTGGGAAGGGATTTTAGAATTAGACATCAATGATTTTACTATTCAGAAGATATGTAAGTGGAACAGCTTTTAAATAACTGCCAACTTAGCCAGACCAGGCTGTTCCCACAAGTTTAGCCAGGCAGCAGAATTCAAGATGCTGAAAGAAGTTTCTAAGAAACCCAGAATTTCACTGTATGACATACAGGCACCTCTTGGCACTATTGATGTCAAAGTACAACAGTGTACTATTAATTAATTAATTAGTTTGCTGCCCATCTTATGAGATAATTCTGGGTGGCTTACAAGGTTAAAAGAATAAAACTGTACAAAAACATGTATATAACAAAGAATAAAATACTATAAAAATACTATAAAAATACAAATTATCAATTATATTGAAAAGAAACGGAGGAAGGTAGTAGGATGAATGGGGATGGGGGGAGCTGGAATCTTTTGTTAATCTATCAACCACCTCCAGTATGACTTTCTCCCATTGAAGCCCCAGGACCTGGGCAGCTGATCATCACAGAATCCACTATGAATTTTTCATTGTTAAGAGAAGGTATTTGACAATAATGTGATACCATCTTGCAGAAGACTGAAACTCAAGCAGACGAGAAAGAAAGAGAGAAAGAAAGAGAGAAAGAAAGAAAGAATCCTGGAATGGCCAGGTCAAAGTCCAGATCTTAATCCCATTGAGATGCTATAGAGTGATTTGAAATGGGTTGTGCATGCAACATTGCACAAATGAAAAAATTCTGCAAAAAGAAATGGAGAAAAAAGTCCTCCCAGGCAATGTCAGACACTAGTAAATGATTGAAAAAATGCCAACTTGAGGTTGTTTCTGTCAAAGGGTCACTACCACAGATGTACTTTACCTTTTTCATAGAAGAAAACGGTATATCTTTAATTTTTTGGTGAAATAAATGATTGCAAAGTCATTTTTTTTCTTTTTTAAGTTCATTTAAGTCACCTTATATATTATTTAAATTAAGAAAATATATATATATATATATATATATATATATATATATATATATATATATATATATATATATATATATATTTCCATATATATCTGAGAGAAAACTTTACATGGGGTGTACTTACTTTTTTCACATGACAGTATAGATTGGGAATGCAGTTGTTTTTAGAGAACAGTGAATAAAAATTCAAGAAAGAAAATCATACAATCTATCATGCAGTACAAATATTTGTTTAAGTGGTCCCCTAGAAATCTGTTCTGTGACCTTGAGATACTTTCAAACATCCCAGTGCTGGCTTAGCTGAACTTTTTTTTTTTTTCCTAAAGTGGGGCTGGCGTTCATCAATTTTTAAGGTGTGGGCGAGAAGAACGGCAAATAAATAAATAAATACATTGTGCTGGAAGGAAATGAGAACCTTTGAGCAATCTCCCAGTTCAGACTTTCAGCACTGCACTTTTTCTAAAATATAAGGATGTGCTGAGGATTGCTATTCCATAGAAGCAGTTGTTGCTTAGTGATACCAAAACTGAAAGCAAAACAAAAACAAACAAACAAACAAAAACCCTGGCCCAGAGGTGATGACAGCCAATGTATCAAGATTGTGATGTCCAAAAGTAGTCCCTACTGATGTCTGGTCTCTATGCAAAACAGTATTTTCAAGATCCTCTGAGAAGTGCAGCACTAAAGAGAAAGTGGACCAAGAGTGTCATGGTTTTTGCTCTCATCCATCTGTAAAGGAGGGAAGGGGGAAACCTCACGTGCATACACTTACTTCTCTTTTAAAATTACTACAGCTGCTGCAACTATAAAGTTACATCAGGTGAGTCATTACAGCACTTTTCCAAACATGCAAAACAACTAATTTCCTGATTTTATTTCTCTTTGAGTAGTGCATCTTCAAGGCCACGGTGTATCAACAAAAGTCTCTCTCCACTTGTTTTCATGTCCATGATTGGATTCAATTACCTCACATCCAATGCTGGAAAATAAAAAACAAATCCTTATTCAAAATACGAGCTTTCTTCTTTTCTTTCGTTTTACAACTACACTGAACATCTTGCTCATGAATTACTTTTATATTTCCAGAATGAAAGGAAAGGTGAAAGGACAACTGTAACATCATCATTTCATAGGAATGTAAAAATTGCACAACATTTTCACAATTATTTTCAGTTTTCCCCAACATTTATGTAAATACATTTTTCATGTGTGACAGATAAAAACCTACTAGATCATCTTGGAATGATAAAGGAAAGAAAGAATCTTTGTTTACATTTAGGGAAGGGTTTTGCATCTGATGATGAGTCATGAGACTCCTTTTTCTACCAGATTAAATGTCTGTCATTTTCCAGGGACAGCATTCAACAACCTCAATAGATTATTGTACGAATTTAAAACACAATGCGAATATACGCTATTGCATGACTCTTTAGACTCACCAAATGTATTTAAATTAGCTATAAAATTAGATAATAATTGTGTTACCAAGTTTGAGTAAATAAATTTATTTTTTGACTGAATCTAAAATAAAAATTTGTATGTGCAACAAACTGATGAAACAGTCATTATTATCCCACTGATTAACTGCTTGACTGCATAAGACCTAATTACTTACTAGTTAGGCCGCAGTGAAAGATTAATTAATCTCAATCCCCATGTAATGGATTTAGTATAAAATAAAAATCAATGAAGTCTGAAGTAAATAGCAAGTCAGAATGGAATCTGCACACACAATATGAACCTTGTTCAATTATTTTTCCTTTCAGATGATTGATGGCAATTACGGCATTCTCTGCTACTACTAAACCAGTAAAGAAAAATACATTTTACAGACTGCATGCTTGAGTCACCGCAGTCAGCTTCATAGCTATAAATTAGTGAAATGGATCTATGTTACACAGATCTTACATACATAAAAAACAAAGTCCTTTTAATTTATATATCTTTGTTTTTTATGTCTGCATATTTCCATAGTACACTGTTTTGTCTCACAAACATGACTGTTTATGTTACTGGATGTAATAATCAAAATGGCAGGTTATACCAAGTAGAACCCACAACTCAAGGTTAAAATGTAAAAGGCTCCTATTCCATATACAATCACTCAGCCAGGCTCTTTACCCTATGATATGCCTTTCACCTCTGTACCAGTCATTATATACATTCAATACTCATTATTATCTGTTGGAAATCCCTGTTCTCCCAAAACCTGTAAGTTTTCATACTTCCTCAAAAGTTGAGTAAGTCTACTGACATTTCCCCCTTTAAATATAGCCCTTGAAAGGAATAATATTCAGAGAGTTAGCTTTTTCTAACAATAAATAACCTTATTTGCTGTACACAGTGTTCCTCAACCTTTGCAACTTTAATAAGACCAGACATCTTAAAGTTGAGAAACATTGCTATAAAACGTCAGAAACAATTGCAGGTTTTAAAAACAGAATGAAAATATTGCAGAGGAGGGATTATTGGTGTTTTCATTTATACATACAATTGTATTATCAATAAACTTTGAGCACTATGACAAGAAGTAACAGTCAGCACTGCAACATCTGCTAGCAGTAGAGTGCACTTCACAGAAATAATTATATAGTTTAGGTTTTGGACAAATCCTTTGCCCAGTGCAGAATTTCTCCAGATAGCAGCTTCACAATTATTCTATTGATTAAAATATACTAAATCTTAGGAAATTGCAAAATCTCTGAGATTGTGATGTTCTGACTAAAATCTTTTCAAATCCTTTTGAGGGGAAAACCCAAAATTTTGCACAATTGCACGCTTTGGCACTCTATATTGAGATCTTAGCTATTTTAAAATTATTTTATTCTGGCACCTCTATGAGGCCACTTATGGTGCCCACGTGGACCATCAGTGGTTGCTTGACCATGGATAGGAGTAGCATTGTGAATAAAACATTATATCTAATGCAGTGTTTCCCAAACTTGACAATTTTAAGGCATGTGGACTTCAACTCCCAGAATTCCACAGCCAGCATTGCTGCCTGTGGAATTCTGGGAGTTGAAGTCCACAGGCCTTAAAATTGTCAAGTTTGGGAAACACTGATCTAATGTGATACAGCCTGGGGTACTTCATCTATGAATTTATATTAAACATAAGAACATAAATTTTCTCTGCTCCCAATGGCAATAAAACCCCCCTCAAATTGAACCATTCCCCTCAAATTCCCTATATATTCCAAGAACTTGGGAAAAATTCTCTTTACACTAGCTTAGAAACAGACAGAAACCCTACAGCCTTATTTTCATGTGGAGTTTTGAAGTTCAACAGTTTACAGACATTTTGGGAGATAATTATGTTTTGCTTGATATGCCAGAGGAACAGGGATATTTAGTGTAATAAATAGCTTTCTGGAGCCATTGTGACAAAAGTAACACTCAACAACAAAGATTTTGCTTCCTGAACACTTTTGGGCATATCTAAGATTTTTGGCTGCTAACCTTAACCTTAACCTTAATTTATAAGTATTGTTTAGGAATCTTATCTTTTTGGAATTTCTACTTGTATATATATTAAGTTTACGAATGTTTGCTTGCAGTATAAAATGCTTGTGTAATTCATGCATGTCCAGGCATGTGCTCAGGACACATTGCACAACATTTCTGGAGCAGGTACAGTTTGGGCATACCTAGGCTGAGTGGATGCTGCCTGGAAAGAAGGTTGCATGCACAGATACTACTCATTTTATTGATATCTGTTTCAATTGTATTTTTTTTGTAATATATTTTATTGATTTTTTTTAAAAAAAACATAAATCACTTAATAATTGGTGAACAGTGTGTTGTCTGGGTTACATTTGTAAAACAATCACTAACAACTGATTTCTATAATCCATAATCCACAAAATAGTTTTAGTTGATTTCCTCTTTTCCCAAAATATTCTTTTTTGCAAATATTGAGTTAATACAATTCGTATTGTTTTGATAGATAACAATTAAATATATAATTTTTCCCAATTATTAAAAATAATAATCACATCAATATTTCTTTTCTATCCAATCATTCTGGTTGCCTTGTCATAGATCCTGTTACAGTCCTTATTTTGTTTCTCCCACCAAATTCTAGGTATTCTTACTGGTTAAGATTTTCTCAAAAATTAATTACATTTAAAAAATTAACTCTATTTTTCCATATGAACCATCATCTCACACTTTTACATTTCTTAAAAAATAGATAAAACAGAAAAAAGAAAGAAAAGAGTAAAGAAGTATAAAAAATAATATCCTACTTAAAATATATATCCCTCCTAAGCTAATATGTATTTATGTCCTAAATTTCTTATTCTTTTTAACTATAATTAAAAATACATTTAATTTTCTCTGGTGAATCCCATCATCTATTTTCTTAGTTTCCACTTTAGTCTTTTTCTTTTGCTCAACGTCTTTCTTAATCAATGTATTTTGCTGAATCAAAAAGTTTTTCCATATGTTCGTAAATGTTGTTGTAGATATAAAAAGTAAATCAGGAGAAGTATCTTTGTACGGGACTTCTGCCTTTCCATGTTTGTTGAAAATCTTTTTCTTTCTCTCAGCTTCTCTTATCATTTCCTTTCTCTCCAATGTTCCTGACATCTCTACAGTCCATTTTATCCGATCTGTTTCCTTATCCTCAGATTTATTTTGTAGTTTTAAGGGATAAGTTGTTTTGTCCAATTCTTATGAATTTTTTCCACTAGGATTAAATCATGTTTCCTTGTTTTGTTAAGTTCCATCTTTAAGTCTCTATTCTCAATTCTATATCCATTATCTGTTTTATTTGCTCCTTCTGTGTTGTTGTTTTCTGGGAATTTTTTTGTTGTAGAGTTAACTTGGAAATAGATTGATTTATATTTTCAAAATTGTTTTGGATTTCTTTGTGGTTTAAATTCATTGTTGTTTGAATTAGTTGCAGTATACTATATATCTCCTCCTATGACGTATTTATGTTTTCTTGGTATGTTCTTTCTACATATCTCTGATCCATGATAGCCAAGAATTTGAGTTTTCCTCTTCCTTTCTTTTCTCTGTAAATAGCTTTAGAGTCCCAATTAGATAGAAATTTGTAATCCAAATAGTTCAAAAAAAGATTTTTTTCCTGAAATTTATAATTCTCTCTTTGCCTACAGCCCAGATTATTGTCCTTTTTTGTCACAGCTGTTCTTTGATGTTAAAGCTTTGAAGGTCACAGACAGATTAGCTTTTCCCAGATTTTGCCAAGTCTTATATTAAAGTCATAGTTGTTATAGTCTTCATCTGCCACTAGGTATCAGCAGCTATTTGTTTTTCAATTTCCAAAATGAACAATTATCTCTGAAATGAGAGTCTTAACCATTAAAGCAATTTTAGATTTATCCAGGTTTAAGTTTTAAGTTTCAGGTTTTATATTCCCATATATTTTGATCCTCCAAAAAAAGATTAATTCGCCGCTTCCGTTAGTATAAGGGTGGGGCGGAAATCCCCCCTCCTTCCCTTTCGGAGGTATGTTGCTTCTTGGGGATCTTTTCCAGGAAATTAAATGTAAAATAGAAAAGAGAGGATCAAATACCTCACCCAATTTCAAGCACGCTGTTCACAGTTGTGCTGGTTAGTGCTTTTGGACTTTGGTTGCAAGTAGCTTGGGCTGGTCAATGCAATACGGCCAGCCTTTTTCCTGTCAGGTTAGAAGGCTTTCCCCAAGTCGAATGGAACGGTTGCCACCGTTCCAGAATCACTGGAGCACCCTTCTTTCTTCGTTGCCTCTCCAGGGTAACTTAGACCCATTTAGGGTGCCCTGGCAGGGCGAAATTAGCCATGGGGGTGTGGAGAATCCGCATGCCCATGACCAGTTGCTACCATGCAAAACCAGAAGTCCTGTTTCCATGTATTTGTATGTGATTGTTTTAAGGCACTAAAGAATCTATTCATGTGTAATTTACATAACAAGTATGCCAGTTATAGGCTTGTTATAGGACAACTGGTGATAGTAGAAATGCCTCACTCATGT